GATCATCACCACAGGACTCGGTCTTAATCCCTATCGATCTGTTTTGGGCTTTGTTTGGACGGCACACAATGGGAAACTAAAGGATAGACACATGTTGCGGGCACAAATCCGCTCGATAATCGCATACCACTGTCACCTCGCATCCCGACCGAAAGCGACAAACAAGACGACCCGAGATGGACACCCTCAAAAGACTGAAGCTCTGGAGAGAGACGGCGCGCCCGGTTTGCTGTAAACAAGCGCTCTCTTTTCGGCCTAGCCGTATAAACGAGATTTTGACCCGCTCGTCCAGGCCTAAGATTGTGCTCAGTTTTTGTGCGTTGACAGCTGCGCCTCTTGTTTATAAATCCTAAATTGCCGAAAGAACCGTTTGTAAAGCCAGTGGATAAACGAAGGATCAGTTGGTATCTCGCTTTTGCTGTGTGATGGAGAAAAATTGGCGGGATTTGATTTGAACTCTACAAAAGAAACATCTAGGGCCAGATTAAGTGTAGCCTTGTTCCTTGGCACCAGTATTCTGTAGACCCTTGGTACCAGTGTTCTTAATTAACCGGGAAGTGCCGAAGTCTCGAATTTCACGTTGATGCCGAACCTGTCCTAATATGTATTGCCTGTATACATGTACTAGTTGAGTTTGAAGCCTGCCCCAAATCGAAATTGCAAAGAGAGTAACCTCCTCTGCCTATAGATTGGGTGCGTCGATGGGGAAATCGCTGGTCCAAACCTCACGCTAGCTTGCAGCGGCCTGCCTAGGCTGGCCTTTTTGCAATTTCCACCGTACAAAACTGTTCATTTTTTTCTTGATTAAATTAAGAAATCGTGCATCCTTAGTTGAGAAAGTGTTTTCATTTTTACCAAATTTCTGAGCCATAACATGAAGATGGACTCATGATGATTTACCCTAAATGCTGAATGATCAAGGTATGGTTGGCGCCGTGAAAGCGATACAAAACACAACACAATTTACGTTGCCGCTGACAATGTAAACAAACACTCGCCTGGAATTAAGTTGACGGACCGTGAAGTTGAAAACTGTCCTAAGGATATTTGATAAGATTTTCTCTCTGCAATCAGGACTTACACAAGGCTGCTGTTGTCACAGAAATTCCTGGTTTCCTTCTCCATTCATCATTTGCCATTACTTCAGCACTTGCTCCCCTTTCCCCCCCCCACCCCTCTCGCATTGCTTGCTATTTATATTGGCGGCCAGAGAAGAAGTATTACCCTAGCTTGAAGTTGGATGTATTCACAAAATGTAAATCTGCTCAGTCATTTTTAAAAAGGGCCCTTTTTACATTAAAGTTAAGTAGTAGTAGTTAGCAATAGGCGTTTCGGTGGCCGAGTGAGATTTTTTAACCTCAGTTCATTATCCTTTGGTTTCTGTGAACATGAGGCCAGCCATATTTTTTCAGCCCGAGAGTGACGCAAATATGACTCTGACATAAAAAGGCCTGACCTCCGTGCCGAACAAGCCGGACAAGTTTTACTTGGGACGGGGCAGACAAGGAGGGTTATGCACGTCACCTCGCTCCGGCGCGGCCGGGACAACCACTCAAGGAACCCGCCACCTCGGCCCGCACCATCACCCATCAGCCCCACTCGAAGGAGCCTGCTCCAAAATCTCTTCTGCCCTCCACGCACACAACCAGACCCGGTGTCGACCACGACGCTCATAATTCCAATCAATTTGCGCGTCCTGTGTTTTCATTCCTTGAGAGCTAGGTAAACGAAACGGCGCGGTTTCGCGCCATAAATCTCGGCCGTAAGTGACTCTTAATAATCCCGCGGTTGGGGAAAATATCGTTTAGTTATCGCATAAATTTCCCACTCATTATTTTGGCCGGGAATTTAAAGGATAAACAAGTCTGTCTCGGTCGTCTATTAATAATTTCAAGGGAGTACAGTTAACCTTTCGCTCTTAGAATCTAATAAAAAGTGATCAAGTTAACTTCCTTTTTGTCAGAAACTGAGTGATCTGTAAAAGATTAGACCTGGAGATTTTTCTTGTAAGTTTTTAGTCCGTTCCTTGGTACACTTTAACGTTTATAAATTCTCGACGCCAACGTTATGTGTTTTGCATTTTTGCAAATGGTGAAATAATCATAACTGAGTTTTGTTTATTTCTCAAAGACTGTTGTGTCATTTGTAACTTGTTCTGAAGGACTGAGGTAAAAAAATATTGGAAATTGAGAAACCATTTTTGGCGGGAATAATAATCAAACCCAAATGGAAACTACGATTGTCTGTGGCGTGTTTCTGTGGTGGCCCAGGTGGAAAGTTGCCGTTTGTTTACAAGTAACCGGGTGTCAAGTTCACAAAGGTCAAGAGAGTGTTGCATCTGTGAAAAATTGAACGGGTCTCTCTATGTTAACTCGATTAGTATTCCTGGTAGATCGTCTCTGCCCGTGTAAAATACAGGGAGGGGGGTGATTTCACCTTGAGGATTTGGTGTTTTGTGGCTGATTTAGGGCCAAGCTGGACCTTGGAAGGTACGACGGGTCGATTGCATGCCCATGTACGATACCAGTTCACGTGGATTGCGTTGGATTTTATTTCCATGTTTACTCCCCGTAGAGGAATGGTCGGAAAGTGCACCCACAAGTTCCCACTGGAAACGATACCAGTAGGTGTGGGGCAGTAGACCACGGGCAACCGCACCATATTTGAAGTTCAAGATAATTCTTTCACTTTTTTTCTTTTGAAGGAAAGCGGCGAAAAGGGCAAGGGTTCAAGGGAAAAGAATTTAGATGTGCGGTAAGCATTTAGTTCGTTTCACAGATTGGTTTTTAAAAATGTCGAAAAGAAAACCCCCGCTTTGACTTGGAAGGTATTTCTGTATCAAACGAATAAAATGAATGTTCGTAAGAAATAGGACCAGTTTTGGAATTCAGTGTTTAATATCGGTTAGGTACGCAGACAAGACGGGGACTTGGTATTATGCTTAAGACCATGTTCAGACGAGACACAGCGGACTCGGCCAGTGACGAATGGAGACAGACAGAACAAGAGACGGCCGCGACCGACGACCCGTGGACTTATAATACATGTACATCCTGCGGTCATTTCTCGTGCATAGAAAGGATGGCCGACAGTCCGGACATACAGTCGGAGCGGCAGACGTGACGGTGGAAAATGAAGTTTGATTCAAACAGTGAAGTATGGGATTGAGACGAGTTTAGGACAATGCGGATTTATTTTGTGGAAAAGCTTTATTCACAACAGGCGGCAACCAGTACGCGAAACAATTGGACGTCGACATTGTGTCCAAAGTCTGGGTGAAATTCGACCCGGAATCTCGTATCTCTCTGCTTCATTAGGGTAGATTAACGAGATTTAAACTGCGCTCTGGAGCTGTCAAGTAAAGGGGAAAAAACGGGCCCTGGCTATCGAGTGCATCATCATTAGCTCTAAGGTTCGAGTACTGCCCGGCGAGACCGTCGTGCAGAAGGCCCCTTCGACAAACAGCCCGACACCGCACCGGCTTTCCGCGTCGGCGCGGCTTGAAGCCACCGCCGCCTCCTCGTGGATACCCTCTCGCCTCTTGACGGCTCCGAGGCGCACTGTACATGAGGACCGGGGCTCTGGCAGCGCCGGCCCTCGCCATTGCTACCGCGAGTTCATCAAATCCTACAAACGCGCGGCAGCTCTTGAAAATGCAGGAATGAAAAGTCATATTTCAAATCTCCTGTCACTATTGATACGATTTTTGGTTTGATTAATTGATGCCTTTAATAGGTTTTTTTCACGGGCTCATATGGAAATGACCGTGAGCATTTCGTATATACATTTTCCGTGGTGGATACTTTTTCTGAGCTGGCTTAAAATTTTGCAGGCCTATTTTCATTGCTTAATATTTCGATATAGGGTGGGTTGCGTCTCGTCCTTTTTTTCGGGGAAAACCCTTGCGGATAATGTGGTGTAAGTTTCAGAATTACATAGATGTGTACCGTAGTGTTTGCTCAAAACAATACCTTTTCCATATTCCAGAATTGTTCATCATAATTCTTGCTCTCTTTGCCAAGTATTTTCTGTTCAGTTTGTTTGTGGCATGCAACACTTTGAAAAATCTGAAGTTTGGAAGGAAAGTGTTTTGTGTGATACCCGTTCCAATTTTCAACTGTTTCTAAGGAGAAGATATTGTGAATGGATGTGTTACTAAATGCAGCGAAAACTGAAGTATGATATCGGCCATATTCAAGGTAATTCCCCAGTTGTGGCGATTCTGTCAAACTGCCCTCAAGTCATTCTGCTTTAAGTCCTTGGTTTCTTCAGCCCTTATTTCAACTTTTCTTCTGGTTTTCGGAAGACAGGACTATCAATAAATAAGCCTTTTGCGAATTACTTTGTATATGAGTAAATTCTGGTATGCACTGAGTTGTCTGATTGTACATGAACATGATTTGATCTCCTCAGACTAAAGACACTTGCTAAAACTCATGATTCGGGGCAAGCTTTTGCATCACCGCGACCACCATCTCTAGAATGGACTGGTTCCTTTGAGCCCTTCTCATCCATTGAAAACAGTGTATCGGTGCAAGACGTCTCTTAGTCTTGTAACTAGGCAAAAACTTGCCCCAAATAACGAGGTCTAGCAACAGTGTTTATATTATGGAGATATAATGGTTATGTTCACCCGAATTTAAAGAACTCACTATATCTGATTTTGTTAACATTTAACCCGCAAAAGGCCGGTTAAAACATGTCTCTGCTTTGCTGATCTTGCCGGTGTTAAGGTCTGCCGTTTGGTGGCGGGCTTGTCCGCTAGCAGTTGAAGCCGCCGTATACCCCACGGTACAGTATCTGCACCGAATAGGAAGGATGCTTCGAGCAATAAAATGAAGTGCACGGTATACGAATAACCGGAATGCGAGGCAATCTGGCACTGTAGCCCAAGCTTGTGAGAAAGGACGGTTTGTGGGTTTTTTTTTGCCCATTTACTTCGAGAAACAGAGAAAAACACTAAAGTCTACAGCCTTTTCATGGAAAATTCCATGTCTAGGAACGACTCCTGTAAGGCACTGATTAACAAAAAGGCGGGAACAAACAACATCAAGTTGACAATCACCTCCAAAATAGGCCGGCTAATTCCATTCATGAGTCCTCCGGGGCGTCATCTTCTGGATGCGGTCGCAGGTTGTCCGTCAGGGCTCACTCATGAGCTCCGATTGGCTTCTTGCCGGCTCTGGTTCCGCCCCTCCCTGACCTCATGCATTAATGATTGGTTGAGTGTGCCGGCCAGCTGACCTCACCCTGTGTACACGCCATCAATTAAAGCTGCAAGTAGCGAAAATTGGTACTACGGCTACCGAATCAATTAGTCTTATCAACACGGTCGTAGGTGGGTTGCCGGATTGTTTGAATAAATGCGATAGACTTTAACTGGTGGTGGTCATCTCTGGTAACTTCACCAAGCTTTCGTACCAACCGACAAGCAGTTCAAGAAATTCGACCTGTTTTATAATCCTGTTCATCTCACAGCCTTCGAGGACTGAAATGTCAACACTGACGCAGTTTGTTGGTGTTTCACACCAGTTCGGCGGCCAGGTGAGTGTTTACACTGTTATAGACAGAGGGTGCAGTCAATGGTTGGAAACAGTTCGAAATCACACAGGTCCGTGCTGTTAACGACAAAAGTGAAGTGGGGTTTCTCGCACTAAAAATGTGGCAGAATCAGCTGGATCCTGATTCGATACGGTCCAAAGAATAACAACAGATGTATCGGACATGTCTAAAGACGAGTAAACAATGAGAAAAACCTTTCAGCGTCAGACCATACGAGTGAAATGATATGACTTTCTTTGGGGGTTGCAAAAGTAAACATACGCACATCAAGTATTTCCCAAATCCGTTTTTGCGTTCTACGATACATCGATTCCAGTATGTAAATTATTGAGTTGTTCCGGCAACCGCTACAAATATCGGAATTGTTCCGGGTGGCGTGCAGACACTTAACGCATGTTTTTTTTTCTTTTTCTAGTCTTTCAATAAAACTGTTAAAGCATGCAAAATAACAAGGGAAACAGACACGAACTACTGTTGTGGGTGTTTTTATCCACAGCTTTCACCATTGACGGCAACGGCACCAGTTAACACGCGACAGTACTCGGATACTACGGGACGACCGGTGATATTGGATCCCCGTACCGGGCAATCGGTGTGCTGTACCCCCATGGAGAGCCGCTCGAGCGCGCTGCTCCCCGGGCCTGCGGCGTCGCATCGCAGACTCCCTACAGGAATGTATTCGGCTGAGAAAAACCTCGTCCCGTTTGGGGCCGACTCATCGACATTTTTCTCGCAACCAATGGTACGAATGAGACGTACGAACAAGTGTATTTAAAGAAAATTCACAAAATCGAATTTTTCAATGTAGTTGACCGACAAAACACACCCCAGAAAATTAATGTCATTCATTTATAGTTGCATGCAATCTCCTGAGGAAACTTCTGTCGGTCGAAAGTTAAAATGGGCCAACAAAAGTTTTTGAAATTTTTGTGTTGCAAAATGTTACAATCCTAAGTTAATTTATTTAAGAATAGTATTGGTTTACTAACGCAGTTACTGCTACATGTAATTACCATTAGGTCATTTCGTATAGAATCCATTTAAACAGGAATATTCTTTTTGCTCGTTTGTACAGACAAATAGTGGAGCCGTGTGTTTCCCCTTTGACCTGTTGCCGACTCAGTATCCTTACTACGGTGGAAGGTAATGTTCATTTTTACATTCCTTTGTATACTGTGTCGGCAAAGCATCTGTTTATTTATAGTTGTGTAATGTGTTATGTGTATGACATCATGTAAATGACTTCGCCTTCTTTAAGTGAAATTGGCCTGGGGCTTTCCTCCCTTTGTCACTGTGATCTTTGACAAAACGTATGTTCTGTAATTATTGGAACCGAGCAATGTTTTTTTCTTCAATTTGTAATTGATGACCATTTAATTATGTTTTGCCTGTTTTGTCTGTAAACAATTTACGAACTTAGTATTTTCATTGCTTGAAATGAATTTTTAAACAGCAAACTTTCCAAACTCTTTGCAGTTATGGTGCGATGGACCTAAACGGCGCCCGACGCAAGAACGCCACCCGCGAAACCACTAGTACGCTGAAGGCGTGGTTGTACGAGCACCGCAAGAACCCCTACCCGACCAAAGGGGAAAAGATCATGCTGGCTATCATCACCAAGATGACCCTGACCCAGGTCTCCACCTGGTTTGCCAACGCCCGCCGCCGCCTCAAGAAGGAGAACAAGATGACCTGGTCGCCTCGGAGCGGATGCGTCGGCGACGACCGGAAAGAAGGCTATGAGTCCGAGGATGGTGATGGCCAGGACGAAAGGGACGACGGCCTGGGATCGGACATTGATAGCAGCCACAATGACCAACGTAGGTTACTAAGTTTCCTTTTGAGTCGTCTTTTTTAAAAGTAGGAAAATTTGATACCGTCAACTGTTTGAATTTAGACGATGAGCAGTATTTTCAGTACTTCCAGCAAATATTAAATGCAATTTTGTTTTCGTCTTCGTAACCCAAAGTTACCTTTAACACCATGTTCAAAGAACTTGAAAAAACTGTGTTTATTGTTTGATACATGAAGTAACATAGGCCTACTTTGTCATTCAAGTTTCAAAATTGCAATTGTTAATAACAACAATGATTTTAGAAGGGTCTTGTTTGATCGAGATTTCCAGTAGCAAATTTTGGAGATAGCTCGCGAAATTTGTATAGGTAATGTTATGAAACAATTGATTGCCGGTATGTTTTGAGCAAAGATCGCTTTTTATCTCTTTCGCTATTACACTGTGTCGGTTCAGCCTGAACCTATTTTGAGGTTTTTATGAGCAGAGAGTCTCAATTGGCAGAATTTGCGAAAATTAATTTTTCGTTAGCGTGAGAGCGCGTGTCAAACTGAACCGCACTAGAGAGAGCTGATCCCGGCGAGGGGCGGAAGAGCCGCTTCCGCTCGGCTGGGCTCTCGCACCGCGGAACGGCAGCCCGCGGACCTCCGACCCCCAAGGGCCTACTCGGTTTGCCTGGCCGCGCGGAGGGTTTTTGCTTGCGACGTTGAACGGACACGGCAAACATTTATTGCCTTCACGAGGAGGGATTTCCTGAACGAAATTCATCCCCGGTTATATCCTCGGTGGGCCCGGAACGAGCAGTTTGAGTAGTTTGCGTTCGTGGCTTGAAACTGATGCCAAAGATAACTCATCAATCTGTGTGGATTTGGGTTGCGGTGTACTAAAATAATCTGCGGGCGTGACGTCATGAGTATTAAAGAACACGTATTATGCAAAAAATGTCTTACTTTTATCCTTTTTTTTTACCCAAAGCAAGGAATAAGTCAGTGGTTGTAGATAAATACAAATCTGATCTACCCGTGCATGAACTTTTACAAAACTCTAATAAGTGCATAGAACTTTCACAGTATTCTTGCGTCTCCGGTTTGATTTTGTAGTTGGCGGTTAACTTAGTTATAAAACTCTCGTCTCTAACCACTCGTTTCCCTCCTTGCAATAATTCATAATTGTTCACTTACCTGCAGTTTTGTAAAAGAATTCGTTCGTTTTCATTTCCAGTTTGTTTTCATCTCTTTTGACGCTCGGTATTACTTCAGTCTCTTGATAACTGAATTTACATGCATGTATTTCTTACATGAGGTGGAGTCAAACATAACATGATGTCTCGATGGTGGAACAATGTCTTTTAGAGAAATCGTTTCTTTGTGCTATTTTAAGTGTCAGACGTAGAGCTAGAGGAGACACAAGACAGGGTTCAAGACGGAAGAAGCAGCCAATTCGGCTTACCTTATATCGACCCGAGGGTGCCGGCTGGGTTCATGGGCACAAACACGGGCAGGGACTCAGTGAGCGTCACGGTCGATGACGAGGAAGACACCCATCGACCTAGGGAACTCTGTAGCCCTCTCTGCCACAGGAGGAGTCCCAGCCCTGCCCCTCTGGCGCCCTCCACGGTCAGAGACACATGTGGGCCTACCTCCAGACCGTCGTCCTGCGAGATCAAACCACCGACCCGGCCAGCGGACAAGCCCAAAATCTGGTCCCTGGTGGACACAGCCTTGTCTGACAAGAGTTCCGTCGATCACTCGCAGACACCGTGCCACAGCCGTCGCGTGACTGATTCGCAAGGCCGATACGCGCCCTACAACACCCCCTTGGATTCGGCGGGACTTGCCATGAAGCGCCTTGTGACTGCCTCCACACATCCTCCTCAGTCTTACGCATTGACTTGTTTCACCTCGCCTGGCTTTGCGACTTCGTCGGAACTCCATCAAGAAAAAGGTTGGTAAATGTTTGCTTTAATTAACTTGCGATTCCTTTCTGCAAGCTGTGATGGCCAGAATAAAAAAAATTAACCAATAAGCCGTGAACCTTCCTGGAGTTTTCTTGTTCAAAACCATTCAAAATGAAAATTAAAATCAGACATATCTTACAAAAGTACTGAGAAATAATGATGAAAGTGCACAGAAATCAGCTAGTCACAAATCGTTCTTCGTGGACTTGAGCCATGTTCACCGTAAGACGGATGTGACTTCTTTGTTCTTTGCTTAGAGACATCGTTTCCTTTGGGATTGGGACCAAGAGCAGACGAGTTTACTTTCGGTCATTATACTTCAGCTTCCAACTGTTCATGCTTTGGTCTCTCACTTCAGAGTTGAAGAGTCGTTAATCATTCCGACACTTGCAACAATTGTTCACAACTATCAACCCTACGCACGCACACAACACGTCAAAAATTGTCGAAGTTCATGCCGCTGAAAAAGTACCCCCTCTAACGCCGCAAGTTCCCCGTGGAACGAAGAAAACACCTGTTTCCCAAGCTGGGTGTTGGCGGGGCGCTGGAGACGAAATCACCCTTCGCAGCTCTCGCTGGCGTCCGGTGATGTGGACACAAAACAACTTCAAGCGTCGCACGTCAACTGCGCGTCTTTTGACCCGGCTGGCGAATGTGCCGGCTCCAGCGTGAAGTCAATTCCAGCTGCCGTCAGGCCGAGCTGCTACACCCGTAACACAAAAGTTTACCTCTTTTGTCTGCTTTCTTCTCTTCTTTTCTCGTGTACTTTCCAGCATTCAGGTTTAGCACGACCTAATGGCTGTTGACACGATGCCAACGGGCCGATAAAGACAGCTTTCAGGCCGGTGCTGAGGCGATAAAAGGTAAGGATATCTTCCCTCCCTCTACCCACCTTGTCCTCCGGGATACACCTGCTCAAGACCGAGCCATGCACCTTGCTCGCACCGGGCACAATGCAGCTTCACACCCACTTTACAAGAGACATGCCCCACCAAACAGAATGACAGATGCCCCGAAATAAAGGCAGATGGAGTTTAAACAGTTTAGCGGCTGATGGATAAATTTTAGCTCTAACAACGTACAACCAAGTGTTAAGTTTCCGCGGAGTAGATCTGGCATTTATACCATCTACAAGTTTTTAGCAGCTTTTTAATTTACGAAATTGGTTTTGATCCGATTTCCTCGAACAATTTCATTCATTGGTTAGTTTTAAGAAGCACGCGCTGCTGTGGTAGAACGTTGAAGTCAGGTGCACAGTGCCTTGTGAATTTGTTTACATTATACATGTTCAAAATGTATCGAGACTCGTTGGCACAAAGTAATCTCATATTAAAGCCTCTCTAAAATTAGTTCCTGCTTAAATCAATAGTAAATATTAAACTTTTTTTTATATGTTCATTATGGCCCATCTGACAAAGTTTTGGCTTTGTTTTTCTATCACTCAGGTAGGCTTACATCTCGAGCAAGACCTTGACGAACGTGGACTTCTCCCCCTTTTGACCCCAAAATGAACTCTACTCAGAGAAAGTATAGTACCTCCTGACCTTCGTAGGAGACACGAATCATGCATGAATCAGCCGTCGACACAACTCACATCGTCAAACGGTGCAGTCAATAATATTGAACGCCTTTTAAAAACAACTTAAGATGTTCCACATTCCAGACACGGCCAGAAAGAATGAAGTGCAAGCGCTGGAGTTGGTACAGACATCATTAAATGAAAATTTTGAGTGTACACAAAATCAAATGAGACTGAGCTTTTCACCATCTGCGTGTGAAAACATTTTTAACCTTCAGTGGTGGGTAGTTATCTTTCGCTGGAAAAAAAAATTGTAAGAAAAGTTTGTTTTTTCCATTTTGATAATTCCCGAGCGTTACTGTCATTTACTTCTTTGAAGTGTTTGGAACTGTATCTCGCGCACCGGTCGTTGTAAATGATCGTAGCAGGAAAGTTGAGGTGACTGGTTATTTTATTTAATGTAGGGTGTTACCATCCCCCAATGTTGTCATGGCGCCCAGAGTTTGTCATGGTTAGGGGGCCTACTTGGGATTGAATTTGAAAATAAACTTTGATTAGCCACTTTTCTCTTCAGCGACAACAAAAGCTGTAAAATGTAGTTCGTGGGATATTGCTAGTGTGGTTTATTGCTAAAACAACGGTACTTTTATATTAAATTATGTCTTTAAAAGCTGTTAAATAAAACTTTAATATAGCATTGCAGTACATCATTGTAAGATTTTGTTTTAAAATATTTTTGTCGATTCTTTCCTCTGACAATGCAATACATGTACGACCGTGAAGAATTGGGACAAATAGTTGAAGGAAAATTAATATTTTAAGCAGCCTGCTGTGTGTAAGGAATGCCAAGCTACAAATATATGAAGACACAAAAAGTAGGGGAAAGGACAGGCGGAGATCGGGGAGGGGGACTATGGGAAGGGCTTTAAGCCCCCCCCCCAAAAAAAGTTGTCTAGCACCCCCCCGACAAAATAAAAAAAATGTGTAAAGGGGTAAATATTTGGATTCGCAGTGGCGAAAGTTAAAAAGGTGACATCGGTGCAAAGGATAGCCCCCAAAATGGCTCTAGAACCACGCCTGAAAAAAAGGGAAGAATCGTAAGTATTTTGCATTCATGTCGCAACTTGGGCAAAAGGAAATACATGTATCCCTTGACAATCATGCAGTGTTTTCTGGCATAATGGAAACTTGGTAACAGGAATGTGTAGGGTGGATAGGTTGTCGTAATAAGGAAGTGCCTTGCATGAACGATTAAACTTCATGAATTTGACGTAGTCCGCGAGCGGCCGTGGTGCTTGGTTCTCTTCTTGAGCCATCCGGAAATATTGCAAATTTGGGTACAAACGGTTCTTACAGTATGGTACGAGATTATTGGCAGTCACCAACCGCGGATCCCGAACCATTTTTCCGTCGGGAGACACATGTGCATGTACTTTCGGCTGGCCAAAATGCCGGGATTTTTAATGTTAAGTTGGGGGGGGGGCTTTTTACACGCCCTTGGGATAGAAAGGAAACGAAGTGCATGTCCCCTAAAGTCGCGTTTCATTAAGCAAAGAGACTCGTCTTTTGCGGCGGCGGCGGCCAATGAAGCGATTTCAGCCCGCCTCTACCATAGGCGCCATTTGCACCTTAATTTCGTAGAGCGGAGCGTTTTCAAAACGATTTCAGAGCTGCGGCTACGTCTTGTCAGTACCAGTGCAGACGTACATGTATTTGCAATGGGTGAAGACCGGAGCCTAGCTCCAGACACAAGACTTGGGCACAGCCTCTAATACTAAAAAGCAACAACAATCACGAGTTCAGCTGTGCAGTGTGCTCTACTTTGAACATGGACAGCTGGTGTGTTTAAGTTCTTATCCATGTAAATAGGCAGGACGAAGTGGCTAGGGCTATATCATACACATATGTTTTGGTATAAATGGGATAAACACATTTTTACTCTGATTTTCGGTACATTTTGTGAACGGAGTTGCAGTGTCGCTCTTTGTTTTGATAGAGAGATAAGCACAGAGCCCTCCCCCCTTTCGACAGGAAGCTCCGCGATACTAGCGTGTGTAATAAGGGAGATCAAACATGATACAGGGAATTTCGCTTTCTCCGCTCTTTTGTTTTTGTGGGCCTATTTGTTTGTTATGTTTGATATTATTTACATTATTAAAACTTAAGTAGTCGCCTAGGTGAGCAAACAGTTTGCAGTTGTGTTCTGCATGATGACAAGCACTTCCGTCAACAACATGAGACACAAATCCAGACCCGAGAGGAAGAGAGGTGATGTCGATGACCCGTCCTTTGGCAGGTCAAGGTTAACAGTGAACAGTCATGGGGAGAGGAACAGGAAGGCTTACTTTGTCACTTGCTCGGAATAAGAGCTAGGGTTACAAGGATGAATGGCCTTGTCTCATGGGCGCCGGGAGCTGTAATACGCTGTTGGCGTGCATGTTATTGGGCCCTGAACTGTGCTGATTTTACACTGTTTTCAATAGGGCTTGAATTAGTGGACTGTACCCCTCAGGCCCTTTTCCTGAATCTTCGCAAACCTCACAATTAAATGAGCTTCACAACGGGGAAAGACTGAGACAGACCACAAGCCAAGACCCGCGGCCGATATGAAGTGGCCGTTTTGCACTGAAAAGGTTTTTCTGTTCGTCAACAGAGGGCGTTTGTCTAAAACTGCGAATCATGCAAAATGGCGGACGCCCCGAAACCGAAAGTTGATTTTTCGGCGGACGGCGTCCGAAATTTCATCATTAAACAAGGTGGAAAGGTCAGCAATGTTGCTGTTGTTGGGCATTTCATGAGCTTCCTGCGACACCCGGATAAGGAAGTTAGAGGTAGGGAGTGCGCTGTGCGCGGTAAAACTTGAAAATGGAGTTCCCCAAACAACCGGGCCTAGGGCTAGGCCTAACATAATTTTTAATTTGACAATGACATCATTGACAGGTGCGATATAGGCCAGGCAGTTGTAGGGTTTCAGACTTTCTTAAACCACGGAGGAAGGAGGGTTGAAAAGCAATGGATGTTAAAAATGTTGGACCATGAACCGGTGCTAGGTTGTTTTTCCTTAGGGTACAAATACAACTATAGTTAGTACAGAACCTGAGAATACGGGGCCAGTCGATTTTTTTGACCATCTGCACACCATCATGACCATTAATTTGTGTTGTTTTGTTCTAAAAAAGAACTCTTTCGACATCGTAGACTTGGTTTGGATTTTTTTCGCCGCCTTCCTGGAGTCACTCCAATCCCACGTGACATCGTATTCGTAGCCAGTGAGTCTTGTGGGCATGTTTGTGTGTGGCCCTGCATTCTATGTCTGTGACCATAAAGTCAACAGGTGTTTAAGTTTGCCACCTATTATATCAAGTCTCATTGGTTGTCTCAGTAAGTTGCAAAATAAGGGACCTGGTGACTAACAATGACAGTATAGTCCAGGCGAATGTATGGTCACAAATGTCATAGGCCTACTGTCATGGACGTTGTCGTTCACGTTCTTTTGAAATTCAGTTTCCATTTTTCCAATGGAAATAGCTAGTCTTGTCTGTACATGTTCATTTGTAACATTGTAGCTGTTGGATTGAGAGAAGTACATATGTTGATGAAAAAATTTGCTCCTTTGCAAACAACATTGTTTTGTATGAGATACATTAACGATTAACATGGTGTTTGTGTCCACCTTAGGATTCTTTGGGAATTGGAGATTCTAATGATGGTTGTAAAGCTTGCATGGGGAAAATGTCCACTTCAGATTGGAAACTCTCCTATTGAGGGGTCGAAATCAAAGTTACCATCTTTTTTTCTTGTTTGATTCAAACTCTATGCAAAAGACAAGGAGAATATCGAGATGTCACAACACACTGGCCAGGTGGACCATTCACAGTAAGCATGTGATATCTGGACTAGCATGCGGATGACTGTTTCCTGAGCATTGCAATGTCCAGTGTGCAACTTGATGTAGCCACGGCTACTGAACATTGCACTCCTCAGGAAACAGTCATCAGTATACCGGTAGGCGTGCACGGTATGATACAGTTTGAATCACTACATGAAGAAGATTTTGACTTCGAGCTTGGCTGATGTGAGTTTCTGATTTGAAGGGAAAATGTCTCTTTTCTTGTTGAATATAAGTAAACTTTAGCACCATCACTGGAATCTCCAATTCCCCACTGAATTCCTAAAGTAGGCACAGTAGAAAGTTTGAGGGCTGTTTTGTGGTGAAATCCAAGGTTTTTGATTTGGGGTACAAGCTTTGCTGAGTGAAATTGATGAATGGAAGGGAAGGCCTATGGAGGTTTCTCTGACTCCACTGTAGCCTGACCATGTCCAAATGTTTAAAGAGGGGATTTGTAGAGTACTACTAGTTCAGGACTCGCGAAATTTAAAAAAATGTAGTTGCCCTTCGGGCAGGGGAGTCTAAACTCCCGAATTTTCAGTTGCCCGAGAAGGACTTTTTGCCCCACATTGTCTCCAAACTGTTAGTAATTATAGACATTTTCCTAGTTTTTCTTTTTTTTAATTTAAAATAAAAGCCTTGCAGTACAGATTTTGTTCCCAGAAAATGTTAAGAAAAGGAATTCTGGCTTAATTTCCGATTTGCGTTTCGACATTTGTTGACAGTTTGTCAAAAATCACAGGAGCACAAAAAAATCAACACCTGAAAAAATTACAGGTTGGTAGGTCACTCACCATGCAAGATTCCTGAGCATTTTTCCTAGTTTTGGATCTTGCATGCAAGTACACGTACATGTATGAACGTCGTAAACTTAACTACCCATGCATAACAGATTTGTATGTGACGTAATGGGTTAGTCAACTTCGTGGTGTGGGGGGATTTATGGTTGACGGCTTGCTGTGCAGCAAAGTCAAGTAAAAATTTATGCAGGCTATCCATTTTAATGCACTGAAATTCTAATATATAATCTAATCCCCTTAAAAATAAGACATACTTTCCTAGAAAATGTGCATGTTACACGATGCGATGGAACCACATCGGCAATGCCGTGTATGAGGCCGCCTCGGACACCTTCGGGAAGAGAGTGAGGAAGAACAAAGATTGGTTCATGGCAAGGATCGAAGAGATGGAGCCTGCCATCACCGCTAAGCATGTGGCACTCCTCGATTACAAGAGACAGCTCTCCAAGAAAACCTTTGTTGCCTTGAGAGTAGCATGCAATAATGCCAAACGGACGGTGTGCAAGTGCGCTAATGACTACTGATTGAACCTGTGCCGCGATATCCAAACCGCCGCAGACTGTGGTAACATCTGCGCCATGTGCAAGGGCATAAAGAAAGTGTCTGGTCCTCATGCCATCAAGATCGCTCCTCTTAAATCCACCTCAGGCGACATCATCACAGATTGCAGGAAGCAGATGGAGAAATGGGCAGAACATTACCAGGAACTGTACTTCAGAGAGAACATAGTCACCCACACAGCCATTGAGAACACCACTCCCCTGGCCACTATGGAGGAGCTCAATATACCTCCCACCATCAAAGAGCTCAGCAGGGCCATTGACTCGCTAGCCTGTGGAAAAGCACCAGGAAGTGATGGAATCCCACTCGAGATCATCAATGCTGGCAGAAAGGGTTCCTTCCTCAGCAACTTGTATATGACCTCCTGCTCCAATGCTGGGAGGAAGGCACGATACCACTGGACATGCGTGACGCCAAGATTGTCACGGTCTACAAAAACAAGGGCGACCGCATTGACTGCAACAACTACCGCGGTATCTCCCTCCTCAGGCCAGGAAAGGCCTTTGCCCGAGTGGTCCCCAACAGGCTTCAACTACTTGCTGATCGTGTGTACTCAGAGTCACAATGCGGGTTCAGAGCTGCAAGGTCGACAATTGATATGGTGTTCACCCTCAAGCAGTTACAGGAGAAGTGCCGTGAACAGAGACGCCCTTTGTTTCTTGCTTTTCATTGACCTCACCAAGGCGTTCGACTTGGTCAGCTGAACCAGCCTCTACACCCTCCTATACAGGATTGGTTGCCCCGCAAGGCTCCTGAAGATGATCACATCCTTTCATGATCACATGACTGGCACCGTTCAGTTTGACGGATCATCATCGGACCCCATCCCAATCAAGAACGGTATGAAGCAAGGGTGTGTCCTGGCCCTTACACTCTTCGGCGTGTTCTTTTCCCTGCTGCTGCGCTTTGCCTTTTGACAGTCTGAAGATGGCATCTTCCTCCACACTAGGAGTGATGGGAACCTCTTCAACTTGGCCCGCCTAAAAGCAAAGACGAAGGTGCGCAGAGTGCTCATCAGGGAGTTGCTCTATGCAGACGATGCTGTCCTTACTGCCCACAGTGAGGAAGCACTCCAGCGGCTCGTCACCCACTTTGCGGAAGCATGCTTCGAGTTTGGCCTCACCATCAGCCTGAAAAAGACCAACATCATGGGCCAGGATGTCAGTTGCGCCCCCCCCATCACCATGGCTGACCACACCTTAGCAGTGGTCAACAACTTTACTTACCTTGGTTCTACCATCTCAAGCAACCTTTCCCTAAACGCCGAGATCAATTTGCAGATTGGAAAGGTAACAACTGTAATGGCTCGCCTAACAAAAAGAGTATGGGGTAACACTATGCTGACAACCAGCACAAAGATGAAGGTGTACCAAACCTGTGTTCGGAGTTCCCTTCTCTACGGTAGCGAAGCCTGGACACTGTACATGTACTTTCGCCAAGAATGCAGGCTGAATGCTTTTCACATGCTTTGCCTGAGACGACTCCTGTGCATCACTTGGCAGGATCACATCACAAATGAAGATGTCCTGTCTCAGGTGGGTGCGCTAAGTATGTTTGCAATCCTGACCCAGAGACGGTTGCGCTGGATGGGCCATGTCTGTCGCATGGATGATGGATGCATCCCCAAGGATGTTCTGTATGGGGAGCTTGCCACAGGGACGCGGCCTACTCTCCGCTACAAAGATGTCTGTAAACGTGATCTGAAGGCATGCAGCGTCTGCCCAATGGACTTAGAATCAAGGACATCAGATTGCAACAACTGGTGATCTTCTGTCAAGACAGGGGTCCTGCAAGCTGAGAAGAGGAGAAAGAGTCAGTGGGAAGAAAGGAAGATCCGCAGGCGGTAGAGGCTTCAGTCAGCTCCTGTTGCCACTGCCACCAACTACACCTGCAGCAAATGCCAAAGGACCTGTTGCTCCCGCATCAGGCTCTACACTCACAGCAGGCGCTGTGCAAGTACAACGGACTGGCCAAGGTGCAGATACTCCATTGTCTTCCGAGATAGACGGATGCCAACAACATGCTTGTCACAATGTTTTGGGCTGAGAAATGGGTTTACGCTTGACTACTTTTTATGTGTTAAGAAATTGTTGAAGCGATCTGGAACTGGCTAAACCGATCCAGAAGTAGGAGGTGTCTTCGTCACTTTTGTCAATCATGTAAGACAAAATTAAAAGCTTAACATTTGAAAACATTTTTGAAGTACCTCCTGCGTACATGTACAAGGTAGATCTCTGACCCCATTTTGCTGGAATTTGAAGATAATGGCGCTGTAATATGACTGAATATGTTTTCGTGATCCAGAACAAGGAAAAATGACTGAATATAGACATGGCTGCGTTGTTCATGCCAACGATTTGACCGGACGTACCACGGTACACCTACCCGAGCAATTACAGTCATGCAACATCAAGGTTAAGATGTTGATCTTTTTTGTAATCTTTATTCTGTGCACGGTGCTGAAATGTCTTAAATGCCGGAATTAAAATGCAATGCAAAAAAAATTTGTTGCCGAAAAAAGGTACATGTACATGTACTTGTCCATTAGGCTGGCTGCCTGGAACATTTGGTTGTCCGACAAAATATTTTAGTTGTCTTGGGACGTTGGACTACCGATTCTGTGAGCCCTGTAGTTACTTAGACTACTGTGTTGTGGTACGGTTTATTTTGTTAATTGTGTCCTACTTTATTATCACTATTTTGGGGCAATTTCTATTGGATATTTAGCCAAATGTAGAATGATCCAACATCTGGTTAGATTGGCAACTGATTATTGAAGCTCTTCCCTTTCTTTGGAAATAGACACTTTTCACTCAGTATTTTGAAGCGTACATGTATGTTCGCCAGTTGTCATACCATTTGTCAAAGAATTCCCCATATACCAACGCCTCTACTTTTTCCCTGCAGTGACCTTTTAGCCATCTGAAAGCAATAAAATGGCTTAAGAAGTCAAAACTTGAGCAGTGTAAATATTGATGTATTTATCTTTGAGAACAAGGATTTGAGAACAGGGTGTCAACAGTAGAGGGAATTCTTTCTGACCTTTTTTATGGATGTCTAAGTACGTTTTTGACATGAGGCTGTCCAAAGTTTATTTTATCAAGACCCTTTCCTTGGGTCGTGACATTTCCACTATTTACAGGGTGGGAAAATCACCGATAACAGAATGAACACACATTTTCCCATGAAAGACTGTTATGGTATTGATCAGATACAATGTATACTTTGTATTGTGAATGTAGTATTTTAAAAATGACATTCTGTTTTCCTCAAAGCTTTGTTTTTATACATTTTCTCAACAGAGGAAAATCGTAAAAAGTTCAAGGAGTTTATGAATGAAGTAGCAGTAGTCAAGAAAGATGAAAAGGTGAGATTTGCAGCAAAAGTCAAGTTGGAAGTGCTGGAAGGTCTAGTCTAGTGTAATTTGTGAAAATTGGAGACTCGTGTTTTGGCTGGCTGATTACGAGTCAACAGTTATTTTTATACCTTCGTCTTGAATCCTTTTTTTTTTCATTTGCCCAGAACGATTGGGTGATAAAAGTGCATGTCACACTCAATGTTAGACATGAGATCAGCGAGCCTTGTTCGATATCATGCTCATGCCCGCCCATGGCCCTACATGTACATCGTGCAGGATAATGCAAGTACCGCTAATCACTACTTTGCAAGGATTCCTTTGTTGCCCTTAATGTCCCTTAGAAAAAAAAGAGAAACTTCAAGACAAAGATTTGACAAAACAGTGCACCCCTGGGTGTTCAAAACATCATCTCCCACATCACAGCTGTCAACAATTGTTAAATGTACATATAACTTTGATAGGCAGCATTGATAGTTGCAACGTGAAATCAGAGCCCTGATTACCATTCACAATGGTCAAAGCCTTGTTCACTACAATTTATGTCCCAGTTTGAACATATGAAAATGTGACCACGGTCAGAGTTGTAGAGTTGTCTTATGTCTAAAGGCAAATTTGAGGGGGGGGTTGAAACTTACAGAGACTGTTGTCAAAACTTACAAAAGTAAATCTAATGCAGTCTGCCAGTTATCATTGTCAAGCGTTAATTCCAACAAACGTTTCCCCATTTCATTTACTTATTTACAGAAACTGTCTCATTGAAGTTCCTGAACCAGATCCATGTTCATATTCACATATTTCCAGGGGACTTGCATGATAGCATTGATAAACAAAAGGAAATTGTTGACGAAGCCCTCTGTTCTTCTCTGCTGAAACAGTAACAAAAATAGTTTTAATTATCGGTACTTATTCTGTTTTTAGAAACTCGGTTGCACTTCAGGTTCATTATTATACAGACTTCTATAAGATGGTTTTCAGGTTTTTATTTAAGTGCTATTTAAACAATTTTTTTTGTCTTTGCTTGATCTTTTCATTTTTAATTGTAAAGTACAGTGCCTACATATACAGGCTTATTTCCAACATGATGCAGTTGGCTCCTGCCATGTACATTGTACATTATAGCAGTACCTCACACATGCACTCAACTGTGCAGTGAGCACATGGAAAAGGTTCATGACTTTGAGGGTCGGCAAACTTTGTGCTGAATGGAGTCAGTAGTGTGTACTACACTACACACCTTGCACCATGCTTGTGGGTGCTGACAGATTCATGTATTTCTGTTAACATTAGGCAAGTTGTGGCAACATGTGGGCCTGTGGGGGAGAGGGGGGAGTGGACAAAGCTGGTGTCTCAGGAGGGGGTTGAATCAGTCCTGTCCCCAACTGGCATGAATCAGGTCAGGTACTCAACGGTGGCCTTGAGAGGTGCGTGGCATGGAGGGTCTGGGGTGAATTGGACACACTGCTTCACCCCTCACTGCTGCCCATCATTAATACCAGGCTCCTCTTCCTTGTTGGCCCCTTCCTTTTTTTTCCCAAGGATGTCCAAATGTTCCCCAGCACCACCAGGAAGGAAGTACCACTAACACGCCTCCCTCCCTTCTCCTGCCAATGCTGTTTTAGCCTTCAATGTAGGATAAGCTTTTGGAGTGACAGAAGGGGTCATGCGTCACACTGGTCAAGAGGAGGAAGGGGGGGTGTACCAGTGACGAATGCTTCTTATGATTAGTGCTGACGGTACAGGATACCGGGGGAGGGGCCTGATCTGTTGTATGTCTGAGCGAGTGCTTAAATTCCATATTCCAGAGTCGTGAAATTAAGACATAAACCATGTTTCGTGTGACCCCCCCTTCCTTGCTTAAAGTACTGTACTCGTACATCATCTCCAAGGATTGTTACCAGCCTGGATGAACTCATGAAATCTCTGAGTAAGACATCATGGTGTCAAATAACTAGGCCAGTGCCTCGTGTCGTCTTTCACTTGCATATGTTGGATAAGGGAAGCAGCAGTGTCTTAAAATACTTGATAAATTCAGTAAAGGCCTGACATGAAATATAAGTAATTCCAAATTAAGGGTCCAATTTTGTTCATGTCCCTGTTGCATCTGACGTATGATTTTGTAAGTTCAGAACACATTTCTGACTTCCAAGAGTGATAAATTAATGCAAATTACCTGCCAAACAAATAGTGATAGTTTAGAATCAATTCCAGTGATATTTCCATATCAAATAACAAAGGTCAGATGTACGGACACAGAAATGTCACACTTTTGGACCCCTAATTTCTAGAATTACCCACATGAGCGTCCAATGAGCAATCCTGTTTGTTCACTGTTCCAAGTTCTGACACAGGTCACAAAACTGGGCAGATTTGATTGGCCAATGTACAAAGCTAATTCCTTCTCCCACCCGCTTGCTTTATTCATTGAACATTGGGACCACTAGGTCACTTTCTAAACAAAAAAGATAAATCAAGAAATTGATATGTTGAGAGGAGTGGAAAAGCATTAAGTAATATTTTTTTCAAATGCAATTTTAGGCTTGTTAGTCACCTCGGAAAATTCCCGGTTCTTACCTTTATTTTTTTGAAAATAAGAAACAGACAGTATTTTTTACTGTAGTGGGCCCGTTGATCAAGCTAGTGCCCTAGTGTATGCTACAAGCAGGTGACAGACTTTTGTTACATTCCTATCAAAGTCTCTTAATGTGACCACACCCCACAATATGAATCTAAATGCCTTTTTTCAGCATCTTTGTTTGAGTTACATGTAACATTAGGAAGAACAAACTGGACTCTTGATGTATCAATAGTTCCGGTTCTTGATGAAAATTTTTATTATGTGAGTGAAAGATTCCTATCGATTTCCACAGTGGAAAATCTTATAAAGGTCTGTAACTTATAGGTGGCTCTGGGCTACAACTCATATGTTGGTGTCATTTTGTTAGGCTGGGTCACAAAATATTTATTTGTAATTGAGTTGGATTTACTTGGTCCTATAATCATGTTTGAGAATAAGATTCATATTATGGAAAGGCTAATACAAGTACACTGTAGGCTTAACAACATGAGGATACCATACTACATGTAGTATATTCATTTACATACTAGACAACCATTTTTTGTCCACAAAAATGACAGATTTTGACAATAGTTGACCAGTCACCACAAATTGAGCTGAAAGTCGCAATTTTCAAAATTGGGATATTTGTACCGGTATGTTTGAATGTAACAGAAAAGAGCGTTCCGGTGGTTTTAGGGTAAAAGTATCAGGTGACAAGGTGACATTATTTTAGCAGTTTTCGTCTTTGTTCCCGGCATATTTTCATTATTTCAGCCCAGGCACGAATAATGCCATCGTCAAAATTGCTGAGAAAATGACCTTTTTCAATATTTGGAGTTAAAAAGGAGACGGGTCATTCTTTCCAAATATTACAAAACCTCAAAATGGACCTCCACTTCAATATGACTTTGAACCCTCAAGATAGGAAAGAGCGGGATGCAACTTTACTCTCATTGTGTTGTACCATGTCACAAGTCATATCAGTCCGCTCAAATTCCGTTTGTTCTCCTTTACAATGTACAATGAACCTGTGCATGTATGTCCCCAAGAGATCTTAATTCTACTGTAAAAATTAAACCCTAAGGCCCAGGGAGTTTCAAGTTTAGGAATGATTTTACATGGGTCAGCATGTGAGGAATGCATATACACATGTACATGAACACTTAGAGTATTACCTACAGGTGCATGTGACCCTTGAACTCAATTAGCATTTGAGGAAGGAAGCAAAACCAATCCTTTACAGCACTGACTGTTTCAATGGTCTCAACAGGAAATCCTCTAGCTTGAAAATATAATTCAGTGCCTCAAAAGAACATCTCAGTGGCATTTTTTTTGGAGTGCATTTCCTCGCTGCTTGCTCGTGGATGTTTCTTGTGCTCAGTTCCGTGCCTTAGCCATGGAGAGTATAAATGAAGTAGAACCGAGTGAGGTGAGATTGTCACTGAATTTGTCAGTAGAAGCCAGCTGTCAACCAGGGTAACTGTATTTGGATGAGGCGATCTGGTTGGGTGCCAGCATGGGCTCATTCAGGGCACAGGATTGCCTGTTGCATACAAGGCCAGAGTAGGCCTAAATGCTACAAAACATTTGCACATGTACATGTATCGCTTGTGAACAAATGGCATTTTCACATGTACGTGGACAGTCTGTATGTAGTTTGTAAGCAGAGCCTGAATTTTGTCCGGTACTTCCTTGTTGAATTTCAAGGATCGCTACGATTGTTCCTCTTCATCAACAGCAGAATTGGAAATATGATATGATAATTGGGCAATGTTTTCCTGCACAGTGATTGAAATACCCGTAAAATGGCCTCATCTGCTTGCAAGATCTTTGCTCTGTGAGTTGTAGGGTTTTATAGCAGTCTTTAAACCATCAGCTATTACATGAAGTTCACAGATTTTAGCCTTTTGTTCTTACCTGATGTTGGGAGATGGTCAGGATTTCAATTACCGTAATCCTGGTTGAAAACTGTTGTAAAGTTTATGTACAGGCTACGGGTGCTATACACATAATTCATGCAATCTTGAAACAATCTGAAGCAATCTGTTAAGTTGTTGGATCTGTTTTGTAGATAACTTTATTCTCCATTTCTATGGTCATATAAACTGACTGTTGCTACCGGTACACTCCCAGTGAGTTTTCAACTTTATGCAAAAAGCTAAATAAAGGAATATCACTTGTTGAGTTGAGAGTAAGCAAATGATTGAAATGAAAATGATCACTTAAACCACAGACATCATTAGATGTGTGTAAAGTATAACGACGAAAGAGTATTGGAAAGGTAAAGGGGTACGTGCATGTTTTCAGCCAGCAAGGGGGTCTGGATGCAGATAACGGACCGTGTTGAGCCAAGCCAATCTCAGTCGATAACTCTTCAGTCCGTCTTTCTAGCCCCGTTCCCATGAAAACCATGACAAATTCTGGCAGGTTTTTGTGCACATTCAATGTGACATGAAGGCAGTAGTGTAAGTCAAGTCCATCAAAAGTCCTTTCACATGAGTCTTCACAAGTCCAAGTGCAAGTCCCTTCACAAGGCTAGTCATAAGTAATTGGTTGAACAGTGCTTTTGATGCCGGTAGTTCTTCTAAGTAGCTTGTGAATAGACCCCTTGCAGCAGGTACAGTACTCTGTACTATATGTAGTTCCTTAAATATGGGAAGGAACCATTGAAAAAATACATGAAGTGCAGTCCCTGTTATGGCTTAAAACTGAACAACTTGTAGGGACTTGTGATGGAATCGACTACGATACTGCATGGAAGCTTTCTTCCCAGGATGACATCACCGTTTTGCTCATGAGTGTGGAAATACTTATGAGCATATTACTAAAGGGCACCAAAATACTGTTTAAAATGGAAAATGAAAATCTATTAAGATGAACAAAGAAATTACATACTACATGTATTAAGATGAACCAAGAAATTGACTGGAGTGGGATTTGAACCTGCGACCTCTGGAATACTATACCGGTGCTCTAACAACTGAGCTATCCAGATTCCAGCCATATATTGGTGGCTCTTCCCATTTGTCAGTGTCTTCGTTTGATGGTGCTAGTCAGAAGCCATTAAACCTAAAACTCCGTGTAGCTACATGTAGGGATCACTCCCCAGTTTTATGCACAATGCAACACAGGAAGTGGTAAACGGGGACCACTGAGAAGGATATGGTTTAGCTGTGATTCGTTATTTTAGTGTCACCGTGTCTGGTTTAATTATTTTTCTTTTATCATAGGTAGGGTTAGAGACGTCTGTCCCCAGGAAAAATCGAGACATCACCGAAGCCAGCAGGGTTAGGTTCTCCCTGTTGGTGTGACAGACTTATCCTGATACCGCGGACATTCATTTATCCTTATTCATTTATCCTTTCATTTCTAAAATCAATTGTTTTTATGTTAACTTGTACTGCGCCGTTGATCATTTTTATGGAAATTATGAATTTTAAAATTGTTATTATTATTATCATCAAATAAACTGTACAGGGAAACTGACTGGGAAAATTAAAACCAAGATTGAGGTGTCTAGGTGCATTTTCAATATTGCATTAAAATAAATGCATTGAATACAGTATTTTTAGTTCAGACTGATATCAGCGTCCTTTTTTTTCCAGGATGATAAAATTGTCGTACTCAAAAGAAAAAAGGAGAAAGAAAAGATCAATTATGGTGACTTCGTGGAACTGCCCAGGCTTGTGGTCTTTCAAGACAAGGATCCCTTGCAGCCTTCCACGGATTCCTCCGAGCCGTTACCAGTGCCGCCAGTCCGGCGGTCCAAACAGGCCAAGAGGAGTAGCAGCGAGGAGGAGGTGCAGCCCGCTGCAATGGTGATGGGCCCATCCACTGAAGGCAAGATTCCGGAGTATACAGGGCCCAAGGAGCAACAGGATGTGATCAGTGTGAGTGTCAAGAAGGAAAGTTCATAAGTCATAGTCACAAGAAGGTCATAGCCTCGTGTGTGTTGTTTTTTAA